TTGCTTTACAAAGCTTTAGGCTCTACTGAAGGTCTGTGAAAGTCCATTATCGTAGCACTTTATCCTAGAAATGAAGAACAGCGGTAAGTGAAGTAAATCACTGCTGGATGGGGCATATCAAAGCTTGCCTAGGCTCCACCTCATTGGGCAGAGCTGACTCTGACATGATAAACTAAGAATGACTTGAAAAATATCCCCAATGTCATGAGTGCAGATTGGCTTTACGATAAAACAAGATCAAGTTTAGGAAATTAATTGAGGTTAAAATGGGGAGGGAAGGATTTCAAATGAATAAAGGACTAAAGCTATAGTGGAGGATGTTCTTTTTCCGAGTGGATCATCTCAGTCAGTGGTCCTCCTAAATGTCAATCATTCTGGTGATATGTTTACGTAAGGCTGTCCTACATGCTGGTCCCCATTTTCACTTGCAACAAGTGGTGAGTCTGACATAGTAGAACAATTGCAAATCTTCTTTTGGAAAGTAAGCTTGTATGAGCGATGCAAACAGCAACTGTTAAACAGAGCGTGCACAAGGAGAAATGGGCTTGTGAACGCTCTCTAATGTGTTTAATAGGCGTTCCCTCTCTGAAGCGGCTGGAGAGGGATAATCCTCCACTATACCTTTAACTGGGAGAGGAGCAGTGTTCCCAGTACAGGTCCCTGAGTGAAACCGTCTTTTCTTTTACTGAAATCAGCAGTTTTTGCTATTTAGGTAGAAACCAAGAACAAAATGGGAACAAATTACACAAAATGATGAAAACCTTGGAGGTATTTCTAACCTTCGGAGTTCCAGTGGAGTCCTCCGGGACTGGCAGCAAGTCGACGCCGCTTCCTGATGCTGACACCACTGCTGGAATTAGAATCTCTGACTGTTGGCCCTGAGTTTGTCTGTGGAGCCCCAATAGGGGTAGAGGAGAGGATGGGCAGGAGCGGCGTAGACAGGAAAGTCGCCTCCTTTCCAAGAGCAGGTGTGAGGAACGTCAGATCTCTCTCCAAGGACCTGCAAGGAAAATAAAGGCAAGTAATCTTTTTATTGCAGCTGTTATAGGGAGTGTTGGCCTAGTGGTTTGAGTGGTGCGCTTGTGCCGGGTTCCTGAGAAAGACCCTTAAGCCCCCACTGCTCCCCGGACGCCACACAATGGCAGAACACTGCTCCCCATGGGTTAAAAGCAGAGGGTGAATGTCGCCATTGTGGGACAATAAAGGGATTTCCATATGGTAAGCCATTATAATACAACTCCCAACTCGTCACATATTGACACTCCCCTGCGTGTCAGATACTGACTCGATGGGGATACCCCTGATGCAGGTCCTGCATCTGCTGCTACGTCCAGCCATGGTTCCTGGTCACAAAGCCCTGCCTTATTGAGAGCAGTACTACGGTTTAATACACATAATAGCAAAAATCCATTGATCAAAACCAAAACACTATCTCTCCAGCGCCTCTTAGACAAGAGCCAAAAACCTGGAGAGACATCACTGGTTTTGTGGCCGCAGCCGAAGCATTACGTTGCTGATAGGGCTGCAATGAACGTATGATTGGTTGCAGGTCAAACACCAGATGACCTTAACAGAGGGAACGCTGCAAAACTTAAGTTGCCAAACACTGAGATAAGAAGGGAGGATGCTGAACTGAAAATCAAAGGTCTTCCCACCAAGAATGCCAGAGAATTATTACTGTATTTCTAAAGACGTTCAAGAAGGTGTCAAACATCAAGACCGATTGTAGTGGACTCCTACAGTCTCTGGCTGCAGCAAACAGACAAAGTACCAAACACACCACTCTGTAGATCGAAGTGGTTCGATTTGGATTAATGACCAGTCATCTAGCTTCTCATCTGTCGCTTCCCCCCCCCCAATGACACATGATGCAGTTCAGAGACTAGAGACGATGTGTTCTTTAACCAGCCTTTGGAAGCACTTCATCATGATGGGAGTCAGAGCGACAGGCCGCTAATCATTGAGGGAGGTGACCTGATGTCATGATGTGTTTAAAGGTCCAAAGATGCAGATAACCACTCAGAGAGCAAGGCAAAGGTTTAACTGGTTTATTGAGGAAAAGGTAGAAGGAGGTAAACTGGAACTCAAAGAACTGGTGAGCAGGAACTAGGAAGCCTAGAGAGGATATGACAATGATTAGTTCAGGGATCGTGGGAATCTTGGATGCCGTAAAGATAATGTTAGTGAGGGACTCGCATTTGGGGTGTCTCTTCTCTCACTTTGAATCCAGTAATTGTGGTTGATCCAGAGAAGAGAGGACACGTTGAAAAGTAGACAGGTAATTATTCTTTGGACCTGGAGGAGCAATGGAGAGGACTGTCATTTAGATTTCCAGGAGAACTTGAACGGTACATGTGGAGATTTATCCCCTGCTCAGTGTGAAGCTCTAACAATCCATTCAAGGGAAGAAGACCCAAACATCCAGTTTGTAGCCCCTGCTCAATGTGAAGCTCAAACGATCCTTCCAGGGGGAGAAGGCCCAACATCCAGTTTGCAGGGTGACTTCCCAAAACTGGCAAACACTCTGGCCTCGAGGTAGTGACAGTCCACTGCTTAAGTACTCCTCCAGATAATGATCCAAAGAGCCGCAGGTGTGCAGGGAGGACCAACAAGGGCAGGGTGCCACCTGGTGGTGGAGGGAGAGACAGACGCAAAACAGACCACAGAAACTGGATTCCTGACAGCTGAGGCTTTTTTGGGACTGGAATGATGGAGGCAGACTGGAAGCATGCTGGCACTACGGATTGGTCCAGCTGAGAATAAAGACTCCAGCCTCCTCAAAGACATAATCGCATATGAAACTTGGAAATGGTTTTTCTAAAATGTTCTCATTGAGTTAGTGGGATGTCTTGGTGCAGAAACAAGCCCCTTAGTGTTTGATGTCTCCTCTAAAGATGATGTCTCTTCCTTTAAATCTATGTCTCTGTATGAGTTTCAGAAAAATATAGATGTTTGAAAAAGACTTTCAAGTCTTTGTGGTTGTTTGCACGATCATCCAGTTATTTCTGTGATGCTCAAAAGATCTTCAGAGGTTTGATCATCAAACAAAATAACTCTTAACCCTTTTAAATAAATGTGATTTCCTATTAAAATAATAAAAAAGGAATATTATATATTTTCAGAGAGATTTTAGGACAAAGGTCTGCAACCTGCAGCTCCAGAGCCACATGGTGGCAAAAATGTATAAAATATACTATAATAAATGCCGGTATTAAAAGCTTTAGTGTTATTTATAAGATGGAAAAGACACATTAAAAGAACCAGAAATATGTTTTAAGGGCCATTTTTTTAATTAGCTTGGAATTTATGTGTCTTAATATCATTTAAAAAGCTGAAAATACATAAATTGTTAGTTGTTAAAGATGACAACTTATTTCCTATACATGATTATAAATAAAAATAATAAATAGGCAGTTTTTTTTTAAAAAGTTATGCTAGATTTTGCGACTAAACAAGTTTTACTTGGTAGGACTCAGAGCAAAATGGCTATTTGGATATGAAATGCAGATCCCTGTTTTAGGATAATGAGGAAAATCAGCTAACATGACTAAACCTGCACAGTTCAAATCCTACACAGACCTACACAGTTTCTAAGTTTTTAAGTTCTGCACTAAAAGGCCAGCATCTGCATAATTAAACCCTAGACTATGAATCAAAAGGTAAGCGCTTCAGGAAACACGCTCAGCATGAGTCACCTGTCCTCTGAAACCACGTAGCTGCGACTCCTCCATGATCCCCTCAACCGACGCTTTCCTTTATTCCTCCTCCTCAATAGAACATCCAGCAGTTCGGACCAACTGCGCATCTCAGACTGAATCCATCATGGGCCCATAAAGCATCGGACCCAGCTGGGAAGGAACACCACGGCTCCCAGGTGAATGGTGCTGAACAGCGGTGTTACCTTACCTCACTCTGTGTGTGTGTTAATCGAGGAAATCGAGAGTCAAGTGCTTCAGATATCAGACTTTATCTGGCGTGACGTTAATGAGTGGAAAGTTGGAAGTGGATACGCTGCTGTGAAAATATTTGCACCATTACAGATTTCATCAGTTACCTCCCTCTGACTCTTTAATGTTTGAAATCATCAAACTAATTGATGAACCAAGGCTCATTTAATGGCCTGCAGAATTAAGACCTTACTTAAAAAGAGCCGCTATGCTAACAAAGGAGGCTGTAAATTTGTCAAAGTGAGACATCAAGCCCCTCAGTATTAAACACGAATCACTCTTGATGGGTAACAGAGTTAGTTCTGTGATTAGGGACTCAACTGGACCCCAATTAGAGCTCTTTTCACAAAGATAGAGATCATAAAACAAAAGAGAACTTTCCTGGTAGAACTGGTCTATTCAAATTATTCTAAGAGGTCATTCATAACTCATCCAGAAGGTAGAAACAGAATCCAGAAAATGACTCAACGGCAACAAGAAAGATATGAGGCAAAAATGGCCTCCATGGAAGATCTAGAAGGAAAGGCTACTGCTAATAAAATCGAGAACCGGCGCAGGTTATCCTGAGCTATCTCTATAGTTCTGCTGCTATAGGCTTAGACTGCTGGAGGACATAGGGACCCCTTTTTCATCATTCTGCTTCATTCTATCTCTATTCTCCCACTCTGCAGAATCTGTTAGTTCAATCTCTAACGTTCTGCTCTCTCTGCTTTTTCTCATAGTAGCTTCATCTGGTCTGTTCCTGTTTGGCTGTGACTCCATCCTGGAGAGAAATATCAGCTGTGCTGCTGCCATCAACACCTTTGTTTCTAGATGTTGGAGCTTGGCCTGTTTTCCAGTGTAGTCCTGTTTCTCTGACTGTGACTAACTGGATGTGCTCTCTTCATCCTCTGACATGGGAGCTGGCTCGGAGCTCGTCTGCCTGGCTGTGTGTTTCCTGGACGGGGCCGCCTGTGGAGCTGGTTGACAGTTGCCTTTTGTATCTATGCTTCTTTTTCTATGTCTGCTTCTGTGTCCTTGAACCCTCTGAAGGAGAGCATCCCTCTGCATGTAGTGAGGTAATGCACCATATCATGAAAATAACACCTTAAACCAAACATGTTGGTGGTCTGAGGAATCCTTGGTCACCAGTTACTGACCTTTGGTCAATAACTGAAGTCAGAATATTAAATCAGAGCAGTCTATCTCAGAATGGCTCAAAAAACACACTAAAATCCCATTTCTACTACTGTCTGAAAGCCGAATCGTTCGGACCGAGCTTGGATCAGTTGACCGTGCCAATCTTGGCCCCTTACAACCCTTTCCACACCACGCTAGCACGGTAGTGAAGATCCTCGCCTCGTAGTGAAGATCTACGGTACTACGGCTCTCTAGAGTGAAACAAGAAAATCAACATGGCGGCGCCCGCAACATTCAGGAAGTTTGGTTATAATTGTGATATTCTGTTGTTTGTGGAGAGTCAGGGGAAGAAGGCAGCCTTTGCTGAAAACTTGACAGAGTCGCTTTTGGGAAGTGGATACGACAAACGATGGTCTAATCAGGGCTTCCAGATGCAGAATCATCACTGGAAATCGTGCCGCATGTTAGGAAAGCTAGGATTTTATTAATGATTACGGAGGCTGACTGTAAGGAGATGATGGTGTCTGCTCATGCGTTCTTTATCTGAGAACTGAGCCAGAACTGAACCGCGCCGAGCCCGACTGATGAACTAGGACCATGTTAGAGCGGTTTGGTCGTATCTGCCGCAGTCCGGTTCAGTTGTGCGTGCCATTTAAACTCAATAGTTATCTCTGTTACCGCGCTCAGCACGGTTTCTGAAGGGTGGTGGAAATGGGGCTTATATAAGCCAAAAAAATAACATGGCTTCCAATGTTCCAATCTCAATGAAAACCTTCTTAAGTGGCTGGAATAAAAAACTTCTGTCCCAGAGATCCTACCCACTGGTGGGCCTCTCTGGCCACATGTTGGACGGAGCGGCACAGCACAGATTTAACTGATGGGGGGGGGGGTACTTTTAAACACAGAGCCTGGTCAGTCTGAGCCGCTGATTCTCCATTAATGAATATAATCATCTTTGAATGTTAGAAGTGATTTTCTTAATCATCTATGTCTGATATTGAAAAAGAATCATTGGAAAAACCCAAGAATGGAAAAAAGCACGAGAAATTTCTTTAAACATCAGGAGATGAAGAAGGCTCTTTGATCCATCCTGAAGCACATGAAGTATTAATGTCGGATTTCTGAGTTTATAGACGAACTTCTCACTCAGGCAGCATTTTAAAAAACGGAAGCATCAGTCAAGCGGCTCTGCCTGCAGAATTTCTAAGACATTCCAGACTGATGTGTCTGAAGACCTTCCTAATGACCAGACTTCCTTATAATCCCTTTCCTCTACATCTATAAACACCAGCGCTTTCCCTGGGGGCTCCTGCCGCCGTCGCAGAGCTTATCTCTTCTGCTGGAACTGCCATCTCCATGATGCCTTTATGAGGAACAACGTTCCTGCTGGTGGACAGAGGAAGGCGAAGCTTTAAACGTTAATAACTGCACCAGAGTTATTTCTACACCCATCTCTGCTGAGGTTCTGTTGTTTTCTCTATTTAACATCACCAACATGGAGCCCTAAGAGTCTCTATGCACAGATTATTTTCATTGTTCTCAAAATGAAGGAAAACCTCCAACCTAATGGTAGAATGAGGAAGAGGAGGAGAACTCTCCCTGGTTGAGGGAATCATATCACTAAGAGCCCATCACTGATTTAGATTAGGAATTAAAGTCTGCTGGGAAACCACAGAAGCTTTTAGGTCATTTTATAGCTTTTTACTGGGAACCAGTTTACCCAGAAAGCTGCTCCTGCTGCTCTAGACTCTCCTGTTGACTCAGAGTTCATTCCTCATCTGTCTGGTTTTCAGGAGGCGTCAGTTTAATTCTCTGACATCAGCCTCCAGCAGAGCAGCTCACCACAGATTCCTTCTGGTCACGGATGAGTCATGAAACTGGGAAACAGGAGTTCTACTGGAAAACCAATGTTTCCAGGGATAAGATGTTCAACCAAACAGGGACAACTGGAGCTGACCGGGTCTAGACATACATCTACGACATGTTCTAGACTTCAGCAGGTTTTAGAATGAGACTGGAAGGAGCCGCTGTCCTGATTTCCTCCCTTGAACCACATTTGGTGCTGATTACATCCAGACTTGTAAAATCCAGAAGTTGTTTCCTCCCTGAACATCTGCTTGACCTCCTCCTACATGCAGGTTGTTCCAGAGAACAGCTGGACTTCCTTCCTGTCTTGTACAACAAATGAGTTTTTCAGTCTCCTTATTGGACTCTCAATCAGGTTCTGTTGATGAGCGGGTTTCTCAGATCGAAAGCAGAGAATAAGAGGATGTCAGGAAGCCTGATGTAGTCCTGTTTCTCTGACTGTGACTAACTGGATGTGCTCTCTTCATCCTCTGACATGGGAGCTGGCTCGGAGCTC